TTATAACGTTTAATGTTTATATTGGACTTTATTCTTTTTCTTTTTTTAGTAATATTAATTTGGAAATCTTAGAAAATGTTATGAAATTTAATAAATTTTGAAGTTCCATTATCTCTATTTATTTTTGCAGTAAGTACCATTTTTATATTATTTATATTATATTATATTATTTTTTTATACATAGTATTATTATTTAATTTAAAATCACTTTGTTGTGATATTAATCTAGAAGTCATAAAAAATGATAATTTTTAAAAAAAATTTGTATTCAAAGATATCATTTTTTTTTCCAAAATTTTAATTGAATTTTTCGTTGGAAACAGCTAATTAATAACTTCCACATAATTCTTTAAATCATCATTCATTTTCTATATAGAAATAGAAGGTTCATTTACTTTTTTTTCAAAAAGTTCATTCATTTTACTTATTATTGTTTGTTCATTGAATAGAAATTAATAATTTATAATATATCTGTATATTAAGATGAATTTCTATAAAAAATTTAGTCAAAAATAAAATAAAATGAAAATTATATAAAATTGCAAATAAATAAGAAAAATAATTATATGGTAAAAATATATTTTTTGTTATAGATAGTTCATTATTTCTTTTTCTGAAGAAAAAAATTTTTTTTACATTATTAATCAATATTTTAAAATCACCTATATATTTCATTGAATTAAAAAATTATCAAGAATTTAATATTACACAAATAAATATAAATAAATTATTGAAATTATTATTCGATCAATCCAAAAAAAAAAAACAGAAAAAAAAGAAGAAAGATAACATTGAAAAAAAAATTGAATAAAAATAATTGAATTTCAGGATTCGGCGACTTCGTACCAGCATACAAACTGGACGCCCATAAAGGAATTGCGGTTTGCTCGTTGTACTTGTTATTTGGAATTGCTTTGCTGGCGATGAGCTTTAATCTGGTGCAAGAGGAGGTCATCAACAACGTGAAGAACGTCGCAAAGAGGCTCGGGATCATCAAAGAGAGTGACGACGAGGAAGATGCCGACGACTACGACGCATACGACGTCGAATACAACGATGAGGTTGACAACGAACTCGAGGGTTACATTCTCGATACCCCTCGATCTCACTCGATGGCTAGAAACGTTCGCGGAATTTCCGTCGTGTAACCAACTCTGACCGAATTTCTTTTCATTCACCGATCCAATTCTGTTTCCTTTTTTTTTCGCTAATCCTTCTCTTTTCTTTTTTCTTTCTTTTATTTTTTTTTCTTATTTCTTTTCTTTTATTTTCATTAATATAGATGAATAAAATTTTTTTCATCTAGAATATTTACATTAACCTTATTATATTTTTCTATGCTAAATTTTAATTTGCAATCAAATTGCATTAAAGAACTTATTAGAAATTAATTCTTTTTGAATTGAAAATTGGAAATAGAGAATAAGATTTGGATAATCTATCCAGTAAATTGATTTGAAAAATTTTTTATAAAGAAAATGAAAAAGAAGTTTTTTTTTGCGATTAATGTTTCTTGACTTGAAAATTTTGGAGAAGAATTGCGAGAATGTTCTTTTAGTTTTTAATTGTATTTTTTAAATGAAGATGGAACCAGAAAAAAATATATCATTTCTTTATTTATTCTATATCATAAAAGTTCAAAATTCACCTTAAAACTTTATTCATATACTTCAAAATAGAACATTTAAATCTTATGTTAATATTTAAAAAAATGAATTTCAATTTCCAGAAAATCACTAAAATTAAAAATTGAATGAATTAAAAATTTTAAATATAAACGTAAAGATTAACTATAAAGAAAATTTCAATATTTGTAAAATGTAGAATTGTAGAAAAGAAAAAATTAATATCAAAAATTTTGAGTATGGACATAAGAGAGAATAATCATAAAAGTAAAGCTTCTAGATGTTCTAATGTTCACAAAATAATATATATTATTGGAAAATGAAGCGAAAAATTTAATAATGTCAAAAATTTTAGATATAAACACAAGGATTGATCAAAAAGAGCAGTACTTTCAGCAAATGTTCCAATATAATAAAATGATGTAATACTTACAAGACATAAGTACGCAAAAAAGTGGCGCCAAATTGATAAATTTCGAATGCATCATGGAGACGATTCCGGAGGACATTCGCGTCTACAGGGTGTCCAGGAAGTCAAAATTCAGTCGTAGCTAGCGGTTGGATCCGGTTATTTTTGGCAACGCGCTATTTTCAGTTCAACGTCTCGAACCAAATGGCACAGAATCAGTTTGCGAGAAAGCCTCGGGGAAGATTGGCTCGTTTTCACACAATTATCCGTGGAAAAACGATCATTCAAATTTGCATGAAACCCAATGTCAACGAGTGCCTTTAAAAATCCCTGTTTAACTTTTGAATAAATGAATAAAAATTGAGAATGAAAATTGAATCAATAGAAAATTGTTGTTTAATTTTTTTTATCATTAATTAAACGTAATCGATTGAAGTTTAATTTGTAAAATGATGAGATAAATTGGGGTTTACTAGTTTTATGCACATGATGGATATATGATTAATGAGTTATGTAATTAGTGAATGGAGTTAAGTGTTTATTTTGAACGAATTTTGAAAGAAGAAACGTATTCATTGAAGATTCTTGTAACTTTTGTGGAAATATTTGAATTGGCATTGTTTATGAAATAAAATCAAGAAATTAGTGTTTGTTAATATCGTTCAAATATTGTTATATTCTTAATAATATCGAAAAATTGAATCATGCAATCAATCGTACAATTATTTGTTTATACTCAATTTTATTATTATGTACAAAATATTTTTCGATAACTATTTAAAAATCAATTTCAAAAAAATGTAAAAAAATTTAAAGAGAATAGAGAATAATTATATAATCATAATTTTTAAAAATTTCTGGCGATTGTAAAACAAGTAAACAAATTAACATGTGAACAAATATTCAAAATAAATTCAAATATCTTTTAAAGGGGAAATAATTTATAAGAAGAAACGTGAAAATTCAAGAAGAATGGATCATGGAGCACGTGTCAACACGTGGCCAGCCGTCTCGTCGGATCGTCTGACTCAAAAGCATAGACTGGTCTATATTTAAAGCATTGCGAGAAGAAATGAGTTATTTCCAGGATTCTCGAAAATCCGAGAAAAAGTAGGGAAAATAAAAAATAAGAAAGTAATAGAAACAAGTAAGTAAAGTAAAATAAATGAAAAAAGAAATGTTAGACATTAATAACTTTGATCGTAAAAAAGCTGAATAAAATTTTAAAGAGTGATTTTTAATATTGTTAAAAATTCGCAGGAAAGAAGAAAATAGAATAGAAAATAGCGAAAAATAAAATAAAATAAAAAGAATAACTTCGAGATAATGAAAATTTTTAGGTGGAAGAAGACAGAAACAAATAAAATTCAGAAATTCGATTAACAACTTCAATCGAAAAAGTCGGCAAAATAAATAAATTTTGACTTGGAAAAGACAAAATAAAAGAAAATAACGTAACGTTTCCACTTCGAAAACGCAAAACAAAATAGAAATGATTTCAATTAATAACTTCAGTCGCGATTGAACAAAATTTTGATCTTGAAAAAATAAAATAAAGGAACATTGATCAATAGCCTCGATTCTAGATTCTTCTTGTAGAAACGCCATCCACTTACACTTCGAAAACAAAATGAAAAGGACTTTGGATCGATAGAACTTTCATGGTGATTGAACAAAATTTTGATCTCGAAAAATAAAAATTATATAAGGAAAAATAATTTCGATCGATAATTTTGATTTCGATATCGAGGAAACAGATATATCGTAAAGAAGAAAACGAAATATTATAACTTCGAAGAATTGTTCATGGTGAACGGTCGAATAGATTTCGTTAAAGCAGTTTTCGATTCTTGGCGGATCGTGGACGAAGTCGATAGCAGAGACTCGACCGATTCGAACGATATAATCCATGAGAGAGAGTAGAGAAGGGAGCGATACCGACGTTTCCTATTAAACGCGGACCGTGTAATTTTGCTATTGCGACGGGTCACCGATCGCATATAATCCGCGATCCCCTTTTTAGCATTCTACCGTGTTCCTTCTATTAATTTATCTGGAACAGATCGTAGAGATCGGAGGAAGCTTCTATCCGGAAAAAAAGTGGAGAGGGAATCGATCGTGGAAAACGAACCGGAAGAAATTCGTTCTCCAAAAGGTCAGTTGATGAGGAGGACCGTTTCTTTTGAAATGCGTAATTATACACGCTTAGATATGTCATATATACGTATATGCATATAGCTACGTATTTTTGGAGAGCTAATGATTTAAAATAATAATAAATGAATTAACGAGAAATTGGTTCTTAAATGAAAATTTTATGAAAGAAAGATGAGTGTTTAATATTGCGCATTGAAAGCGAATAAATGATATAAGAATATAAGGTTCTTCTCTTATGTTTTTCTATTGTTTGTTTTATATTGTGAAATAAACAATTAATTTTATATAACTTTTTATTATTCATAAATAGATTAGAATTTTATGTCAAAACAATTCTCTTTCATAACAATTTTCGAAACAAGCTTAAGAATATACTATTATATAAATTATATCAATGCAAAGAAAAGAAAGAATCTTGTTAAATTTCGTTTTACAAAGATAATATCGTATAACTTGCTAAAACTCGGAAGAACGTCATAACATAGAGCTACGTTCACGTTACAAACGAAGGAAAAGGGATAAACGCGAGTTCATAATCGACACGTATATACCTAGATTTCTTTTTTTATTTTACGACAGTTACCGAAATACATTCGTACGTTCAGCTGAATTTCATGCGTGTTACATCTTTCTGTTGTCCAACCGCGACAAATGATCGACGTCATTACACAAGGAACTACAAAATTATGCCTCTTCTCGCGCGTTTTGTTAAATTCGCTATCGGTTCGTTAACTCGACAAACCGACCTCTTAGTAATTTCTGAATGGACGACCTTATCGACCCTCTTCAACCCTGTTCGTCAGATCCTATTATGGTTCACGATCTTCGAGAAATATTTTAAGAAAAATTTTGAAGCGAAAAAAGATTTTCCTTTTTTTATTTTCTAAGATGAGAGTTTAAAATTAGTTACGAAAATATGCTGGAAATTTTAATTAATCGATACACGAATAAAATTATTGTAAAATTGTAAGATTATATTTAAAAAATTTTTAATTATTTTATAGAACAATTTTATAGAAGTAGATTCGTGAGAAGGAATGTCAAAAAATTTTAAAATTATAGACATAATGTAAAAATGCAATTGTCTTAAATCCTAAATTAAATCTCCCATGTGTACGTATCACTGCAAATCAAAGGATAGAGAAGATATATATAATGCAAAAGATAAAAAAAAAAAGATTTTCAAATTTCAACATTTCTTTCCTGAATGTACACGTATAAATTATTATATAATACATTAATATTAAAAGTAAAAAGCAAAGAAAGAAAAAAAAACTAGATTAAATTCTAATAAAAGTTACTGATTACATTATTGATTAAAATTTAAAATTACGCGTTTAAGAAACTCAAATTATGGAGTTTACGTTAAAAAGAGAGAAAAAAAAAGATAATGCATTAATATTTTACCATATACGACTAAATCTAAACTAAATCTAAAAGAAAAAAAAAAATCTAAATTGAATTTTACTCGCTAAAAATCTCTTGCGAATTTCAGCAATTAACCCATACCACATACGCGATCATGAAGAGTAACGAAGCCAACGTTAGGATCACTTTCGAACAATTCGATAAAGTCAGAAACGGATAAGATGGTGTACAGAGCGTGAAGAAAAGAAATAAGAAAAGAAAAAGGGCGAGCGATATCTTGAGCAATCGAGTGCCGGATGAATGATGGAAGGGGATCGAGGATTCGACGTAGGAAGGTATTCGACTTCCAATAGAAATTGGCAGCGTGGAAGTTATCGGGTCCGCGGCGGAAAGCGAAGAAAACGGAGGCGGAAACCTTGGGGCGAAAGGATCGTGGACTGGACCAGGGCTCTGATCGCTTTCCTCTTCAGCAATGTTGGCATAGTATGCTTGGTGGTCGGTTACACCATAGCCGGTGCCTTCCTCTTCACCCATATCGAAGGTAGAAACAACCTGGACATAGTTGGAGACGTGATCAGGCTGAGAAACGTGACAGCTGCCACTCTCTGGGAACTTACCTCTAAGGTGAACATTTTTATTTATTATTTTATTTACTATTGTCGTGTACCGTTTCTCGTTTCCCGATATTGACAAGCCGTTCCATTTATTTATTTTTTTTTTTTCTTCTTTTTTCTATCACATTTTGTTTTATCGATAATGCTTTCTCTATTATTGGTTTAAGTTTCACGATTATACGTAATAGTTCGCGCGCAACGGTTTTTAATGATTCTCAAAACACTTTTTTTTTATATTTTATGGTTAATTTATTGCTTTTTCGAAAGATCGAAAAAGAATTTGTGTCCACAAGTGTTTATAATGTTTATAAAATACGATCGTAAAATT